TTTTATGTAACGTTAACTACTAGTTGTTAAGCTTATTGTAAGTTTTTGAAAGTTTGTTGAGTTTTTTTTTTTTACTCATGATCGAATTTTTTTTGTAATCCATGATAGAATTTTTTGAAAATTTGTGATTTTTTTTTTAATCCATGATCGATTTTTTTGAAAATTTGTTTATTTTTTTTTTTAATCCATATTATTCAAAGAGAAAATGAGAAAGATGATGATTCTGAGGCCACCCTATCCCAGCCATATTATTCACATATCGAGTCCCAACAGCAACAATGTAGGGATGAGCACGAAATACTGTAAATTAAATGCTGAATGGCGGTTCAAGCAGGGAAAGAACATATCAATATTCGCATATTCATTCAAAAACATGAAAATTCTTAATGGAGTACCCTCATTTTTTATTGAATTCCTAAATAACAATATTTATAATGAATTTTAATAATTTTTTGGGATTTTTTTTAAGCTTTATTCTGACCGATTCACCCGATTCCCGATCAGGATCACCGATTCGCCGATCCGGATCGGTTTTTTGGAAGCCCGATCCGGGTCACCGATCCGTTTTTTAAACCATTGCTAAAAACTATATATTATCTAAAAATTAAAATCAAATTATATTTTTAAAAATATATTTATTACGAGGCTATCATTGCTACACAATGCGGGCCAGCCGCATGCATCCGTTGTCCAAACTTCGAACGTCGAAATGGCCAGCTCCTCCAAAGAGGCCCAACCACAAACACAAGCCGAAAAAACTGAAAATCCGTTATCACCAACTCTCTCTCCCCTCCTTTCTCTCTCTACCCAAACAAACCTTTCTCTCTCTTTGTCCTAAATGATACACCACCCCCCTCTCTATCTCTCTCTCTCTCAAAAACGCCAGCCCAAAAGACAAAGGTCCTGCCTCTCTCACCGGAAAATCTCTTTTCCGGTGACCCACCATGGGTGTCTTTCAAGATTACGGCCACCTAACAGAGCGTGGTAGGGTGGAGAGGCAGAAGAGAAATAAACAAAAACGAGTGATTGTGGCTTTAACTTCTGCTTTTGCCGCTCTAGCCCTCATTATCATAGCTGCATTTGCCGTAGTTTCTCTCAATAAGCACCCTGAGAAGGCCCAAGAACACCAACCCGTAAAGATCTCGACCTCGATGAAGGCCATCAAGTCGATATGTTCGCCGACCGATTATCAGGAGGCCTGTGTATCTAGCCTCTCTTCTGCTATCAAATCAAATTCTTCTTTAACAGGGCCAGAGGACCTTATAAAGGCCGCCATTAAAGTGGCTAAGAAAGAGGTGATCAAAGCATTTGATCACGCATCAAAACTGAGGAAAAATGCCAGAAGTCAAATGGAGAAAGAGGCGCTCTCTAATTGTAAGGAGCTTCTGAGCTATGCAATGGATGAGCTCGATGAAACTTTTTCAGGTGTTTCAGTCGCCGGATTGAAGGATTTGGCGACAGTTTCGCAAGATCTCAAGAATTGGTTAAGTGCAGTTTTGACGTATCAGGAGACCTGTCTCAATGGGCTCGAAGATTCTAATGCCAAATCCGATATGGCAGAGGCCATGAAAATGGCCACCCAATTAACAAGCAATTCTTTGGCCATTATAACCGAGGCGTCATCTGTTTTGTCGATTTTAAAGGTCCCCGGTTTCAGTCGCCGGCTCCTGTCGAAGGAAAACCATTTTTCGGAAGGCAAAGGCGGTTTTCCGTCCTGGTTTCCGGCCGGCGAGAGAAGGCTCTTGGCAATGCAGGAGATGACGCCCAATGTGGCGGTGGCCAAGGACGGGAGTGGAGATTTTAGGACGATCACAGAGGCACTTTCGAAGTTGCCCCCTGCTAAAGAACGTAACGGGCGTTATGTCATTTACATAAAGGCGGGGGTGTATGACGAACAGGTGACCGTTACGAAGGAGATGGTGAACGTTACAATGTATGGGGACGGATCGAGGAAGACGATCATTACAGGGAGTAAGAATTTCATTGATGGGACTCCCACCTTCAAGACTGCAACTTTCGGTAAGTTAAATGGCTTTTTTTCAGTCTTTCTTTTTCCTTTTTGTTCAACAAAGAAACCGTTATAACGGGTTTTAAAATGAGGGACTCGTTACCGTGATGTATAATAACTTCCATTGTAAAGGAAAAATTGGGAATTATTGAACAATTAAGTGATATTTGAATATTCTAAATAGTCAAAATGGGCGATTTTCCTGAAATAATGGTTTAATGGAGCTATATATTTCGCGTCCCCTGAGGTATAAAGCAAGCATCCATCTTAAAGATGGATGCAAATGGGTTGTACAACTAAAAACATTTGAAAGTAGGGAAAATTGCATATACCCCCTGATTTTCTACACAACCAACTTTATTTTCGTAATTTTTGTGCAAAGAATACTTTTTTAGCAAACCTCCCCAAAACCAACTTTATTTTCATAATTTTTACGCAAAGAATATTTTTCTAGCAAATAGCCCAAAGTCAAAAAGTTATATTTATTTACACCAAAATGCCCTTGTTCGTAAAAGCTCGCATCATATCCTCGTAAAATATGCAACCAAATGTTGACTGCCGGACTGTAGTAAACAATTACCGGACCGACGTAAAGATGTGCGGGACTGAGGTATAGACGCGTCGGACCAAAGTCATCACGTGCCAAACCGTGTAGAACAACTGCCAGACCCAATAAAAAATTTACCACACCGAGGGTAACCAGTGTTGGATTGCATTTTCTTTTGCCGGTCCGATAGCCTAGACAGAGAAACAATTGCTGGACCGAATGTTGGATGTGCCAGACCCGCCTGCAGCTAGTGCCGAACCGCCTATCCTTTTGTCGGACCGAACCACGACTGGAAAAGAGAGGCCCTTTAACTTAAAAGAGGGCATTTTGGTCTTTTTTATTTGACTTGGGGATGTATTCGCTAGCAAAGTATGATTCGAGGTAAAAGTTACAAAAACATTTTTATTGTGGGGAAGTTGCCTAAAAAATTCAAATTTGAGGGGTATCTGCAATTTTCCCTTGAAAGTAAGCCCCAAATGTTTATTTCATGAAATTATTATTTCTAATTTTTAAAATTTATTTATTTTTTACATTTATGATCTTCATGTTAGAAATTATATATCCTAAAATTATACGTAACCAAAAAAAAAATCTTAAAATTAGGTGCAAAAAACCATCTCAAAAGTAGATTTTTAAGAGGGGACTCGTTTCTGCATGCAAATAAATCCATGTCCTATAACGAATATCCTGCATTTTATTTACAAACTAATGGACTTATTTTACTTGTGAAAAAAAATAAAATAATGGAGTTACACGGTAACAAAAAATGGCAAACTACAAGACCGGATCAAACTGGTTGAATTAGTGACGGAGCCTAAGTGGTTTGAAGGACAGAAAAAAATAAGGTTTGACCTGACATAAATTAAAATCAATATTTGACTTATAAGTAATTTATCTAGAGTAGCTGTTTTTATTAGATGACTTATTTTTTAATTTATTTCAGATTTTCAGCTATTATAGGTACAACTCCTATATTTTAAAAAAGTCCAGTACAACAATTCTATTTTATATATGGGTGTGATTTGTATGAGGTTACAATCTTAAACAATGACGCACCCCCCCAAATTTTATCATAGATATAATTTTAGTGTCAAAGATTATTATGATGGTTCGAGAATTTGTATTCATCTCTAGTTATAAAATTTTAAATTTAAAAAAATAGTTTAAACCAAGTAAATCTATAAATACGTTAAAATTGTGAAAATAGATGGTCCAAATAATGTGTTGCAAGATATACTATTTTTAAGACTTAAAATCTCTTTTTTTTCATCTTCATTCATCCTAATGTTGAGAAGATCAATTAGAGCGTTTTCCATCATTAAAATATCCCTTTATGATGGATTTTTGAGGTGCATTTTAATTCTATATTTTATGATTGCAACTTTATATAAACGTTTTTTTTTATGGGTTATGTATTTTCTATATTTTTATAGAATGTGGTTCAATAATTTCATTAAAGAGTTTTGACATAGACTAAACTCTTAACTAGTTTGGCATCCAGTCCGATCCTGAAAACATTAGTTGTTGATAGTACTCAGCTAGCTTTTCCCGTGAGCCTCCATATAATGGGGTGACGGTTAACCAGCAAATTCTTTATTTTTCAGCTGCAATTGGTGACGACTTTATGGCAAAGGCCATTGGTTTCCGCAACACCGCCGGTGCTGCGAAGCACCAGGCGGTAGCGCTCCGTGTCCAATCCGATCGCGCAGTCTTCCTCAACTGCCGAATGGATGGCAACCAAGACACCCTCTATGCCCACGCTCACCGTCAATATTACCGCAGCTGCGTCATCACAGGCACTATTGACTTCATCTTCGGCAATGCCGCCGCCGTATTCCAAAATTGCCAAATCGTAGTAAGGCAGCCTCTCCCAAACCAGCAAAACATAATAACTGCACAAGGTCGCACTGATAAGCGCGAGACCACTGGAGTTGTTATCCACAAGTGCAAAATTTTGCCAGATAAGAAGCTTGTGGCCGGAAGTTCAACTGCAAAAACTAGGAGCTACTTGGGTCGACCATGGAAGCAGTATTCTCGAACTGTATATATGGAGTCGACAATCGGAGGATTCATTGAGCCCGAAGGCTGGATGCCATGGGATGGCGACTTTGCGCTTGACACTCTGTTCTATGGGGAGTACATGAACCAAGGACCCGGTGCCACACTCACGAAGAGGGTGAATTGGAAGGGATACAGGGTTTTGAAGAGTAAGGAAGAGGCCATGGCTTTCACAGTGGACAAGTTTATCCAGGGTGGGGAGTGGATAAAGGCCACTGGTACAGCAGTTCGTTTGGGGTTTTTTAGTTGAAGAAAATCAAAGGCAGTTGGGGTTTGGAGCACTGGACGGCTGATGAGGAGGTTACCTTGTACAAGAGGGAATCTGGGCCATCTGTTCTTGGGGCTATGGGATCCTATGTCTGGTAAAGAAAATGTTAGTTGAAATGGCTGATCATGAAATGTGGAGAATGTGTATTCTTTTTTTTTAATTCTTGTTTTGTCATTTCTTGCAGTCAGTACGTTTTGCCATTGTAGGATAACGCTCCTTGAATTACGAAATTTGTTTTTCAATGCATGAATTTTGGTAGGTACCGATCAGTATCTTACTAGTTTTCCAACAGGCAAAGGGTTGAGGGTTGATCCAGTCAAAACTGGTCTGATTAATGAGATTTTTTTTTAAATATAAAATAATTATGAAGAAAAGAAAAAATTTCAAACTAGCACAAAAAAGAGAAAAAAACAAATTGTATTTAACAGTTGTAGTAAAGGGAAAAGTTTATATAGAGCCTAGGCTCTAAACAATCAAATTAGAGTCTATCTCAAAAATTTTACTTAAGAAGTTGTTTTGATGCCCAAATATCCTCAAATTGGTCATCTCAACATCAAGATGTATGGAATTGAGAAAAAAAGTAGATTTCCAATTTTAGAAATAGTGCATTTTGTAACACATTTTTGAGCCATCAATTTTTAAGTTATTCAAGTTTTCATAGATATGCTCAATCTATATTATTTTTAAAGCTTTAAATTTTATAATTAAAGATAAAAAATATGTTTTAAGGCTAGTCAAAACTTTCCAGTATTGAAACCCCATTTCTCATAGATTATTTGAAGATGGGCTCTAATTTGATTGTTTACAGCCTCGGCTCTATACAAACTACACCTTTTAGTAAATTATGTGGATGTTGGGATCATTATCATGCACAAAGGCAAAGAGAAGATTCGTAGGTTGATTTCATCCAGTTTTTTAAAAAATGAGATCAGCTAGGAAAATCCGCAATCCAGTAAATCGGTCTAGATCAATAAATCAACGATCCAGATTGGCAAGGATATGTTGTCCATGTGAGAATCAGATCATAAAATTACGAAACAAAATCTTGAAAAAATAAGAAAAAAAAAAAAGTTAATGAAAATATAACTTGCGAATCGGTCTAGATGATTCTCAGTCCATACGAGCGATTCCCAATCAGACCACCGGTTTATGAAACACCCATTTAATGTAAGAAGTAGCAGCAAACTAAAGAAAGAATACAGAAAAAGAAAAAACATAAAAGAAAAAAATTGAGCTGGAAAGAAAAAGCTAAGAAAGATTTCATTTCCTTTTGTGATTATTTTTTGCTATGATTTTGAGGAAGATTCACAGGATGACTTAATCTAACGGGCTATAGCAAGAAGATAGAAATTGTTAATCTAACAAAAGACTAGCAAAAAGGAGAAAGTATTATTCTAACGGGTGCAATTTATATAAGTTGGCAACCTCTTACTCCGTTCAAACTATAGATTTGACATTTTTTTTTTTTGACTGTCTCAAAAAGTGCTGCATTTTTTAAGATGATATAAAACTTACATGATCCAAATAAAATAGACAATTTAGATTAGAAAGCTTATTTATACATTGCAATGTTCTTAAACCGTTCAAACTATAGATTTGACATGTTTTTTTCTATGACTATATCAAAAAGTGCCACTTCTTTTAAGATGGTATGAAATCTATATGGTCCAAATAAAATAAACAATGTGGATTAATGAACTTACTCATACAAGTAAGATTGTAACCTTACACAAATTTTTCCTATTCAAAGTAGCCAATTGCAAAGCAAAAAAAAAATTAAATTATGTAAAAAAGTGAAAACACCACTAAAACTGACCTCAAAATTTGTCCTGCATTTCGTCGTACGTTTTCGCAAGATTCATAGGATGATCAAATCTTATAAGTCATGATCTTAACAAAGGGTTATTTTATATAAAAGAGTACCAATAAAATAGTGTCCTTAATATGTTAACGTGTGAAGATTGTTTCCAAATAATAAGGAGCTTTCTATATTTTTGGGTATCCATTCCTTATGATCCTCTTGTTTTTTTTTTTTTATGGATAAGCCAATGGGGGGAGAAGACCCTCTACTCGATTTTTCATTAATTAATAGAGAAAAGGAAAAGCAGTTATCTTACAACCCTATCAAAGGGAAGTCGTGTCAGATCCTGAAGTAATAAAGAAGAAATAAAATCTGGTGTACGACAACCCCAAACAGTAGCATTGGGCCCTGTAGATACTCTCTTAGCGAGAATATCAGCAACCATATTTGCCTCACGAAAGACATGCCATGGAGCACGGCAGTGGTACTGGATAACATTCACAAGTAGGCCTGAGTCACTTGCTATCTGGATATGAAATCAATTCCTTTAAAGAGCTAAGTGAATGCCTTCTTCTAGTGCGAAGAATTCTACATGGTTATTAGAGATAATACCAAAATGTTTAGCAAAAGCAGCAATAAACCCTCCATCGTTGTCCCTAATGACCCCACCACACCTGCTAAACCAGGATTTCTCAAAGAAGCACCATCAATATTGAGCTTAAAATTATGGCGCTCAAGAAATGACCAGGTCACTAGAGTGAAGGATGTTGGTAGATGCCACGCTATCTGAAGGTAACCAATGATTGCCTTTTTTGAAAGATGAAAGTCCCACTTCTTAGTTTATGCAAACGCCTGAACATGTAAAGTAATACGCTTCACAATATGTTCTCTCCTGGTGGATCTTGATTCAAACGCTCTCCTATTGCGTTCCTCCCAAAGAAACTAAATGGTAATGAAAAAGATAGAAGTCCTACCATGAAGTAGTACATGGGATTTGAAAAAGGGGTAAGTCAGTGGGGATAAGGGCCCCTACCCTTTTGGTGAGAATGGAGTCAGAAACTTCATCCTATGGCTCGTTGGTACCACCGCCAAGGCTCCAGCCCATTCTCAAAGTGGTAAGTCAGTGGGGATTTAGGCCCCTACCCATTGGTAAGAATGGAGTCAGTGACCTCACCATGGGGCTCGACAATACTACCGACATTCCTTATGATCCTGGAAAGGGCATTGTGCATATAGGCCAGAGCATAAGATATTCTAAAACATAGGGTTGTAACTAGGTTGGCTGCCGGTCGAATCTATACTTACTCGGACTCGACCCAGCTGGGTCTAAGTTAGATCCAGGTCGGGTCTAGGTCTGTGTCGCATCCTGAGTCTGATTGACCAGGACCTAGACTGGGTTTGGATCTAATTTACCCCTAGTTGGGTCTGGTGGATCAGGGTCAAGATAAAAAAAAATAAAATAAAAAATCTTTAAATAATATCAATTTAATATATGTTTACACATACCAAACATGGACACGAACCGTATCATTTGTAGGTCAGATGGGCCCAAAACCAACCCATTGGGTCCATATATGAACGCGGGCGGGTTAATGGCCGACTGGGTCCGATTTTGAGCTTTACTACTTGACAGCCCTGCTAATAAGCGATGAGTGGACCTCGTGGGACTGACATCTGTGGCTTCTTTGTACCATGAAAGACCGAAAGAATATGCAGAGAGAGAAATATATTAAAGAGAAATATTCAATTTTAGGGCTTTTGAGGGAAAGTTTTGGAAACCCTTGCGTTTCCTATGCTAGTTTTCTCTTAGTTTAGGCAATTGTTCGACCAGACAGATCTCTGTGTTTTGCTCTTTGAAGTCTTTACACAATTTTTCTTTTCCTTTTATGTCAACACAGGCTTAGTTTTCTTCCTCTACAAATTGTAAAGGAGAAAGAAGATGGATTATATTCCTTTTCAACTAGTTTTTAATCACAATTTTGGACATGATTTATATATGGACCTTAAATTTTTGTTTCTAAAATACAAAATGCTCCGTTTATATACAGAAATTACAAAAGAGTCGATCAATCTGTCTTTATTTATTTATTTTTTTCAAAATTGCCTTTCTATCGGAGGATGGAAGGTCCAAATTGTTTTTTTTCTTTTTACTTTTTTTTGTTAGTAGGGCAGTGCCCCAAGCTTTAGGATAGTGCCCTACTAACAAAAACTCTAAAAAATAATAATTAAAATTCGGTCCAAAGATGTCCTTTGGACTAAGGGGCAATTTGAAAAACAAAAGGTGACCGTCATTCTTTGTAATTTCCACCTATAAATAGAGCATTTCGTATTTTAGAAAAAAAATTAAGGTCCATAAATCAATCACTCTTTAATTAAATACTTTTGGGTCTTGAATTTGGGAAAATTCGGATAAGAACAATAATTGCAACGAAATATAAAATTTGACAAAACAAAGGAAAAAAAAAAAACTAGAAAAACATTATTCTAAAAATTCTTCAAAGAAAAGAAAGCATGCTTTCTTTTAATAATCCAAGGTGACAAATTTCGGATCATTCTCGGATTTTAGGTATAAATTTTGGTATTATAAAGATTCAATCCAATAGAATGAGAAATATAGAAAAGAAAAAGAGAATCAAATATTGAGAACTTTGAATTTGGCCAATAGAGAATCGACAAAACCGAAAGACAAAACCTATACGACTGGTGAATATTGTTGATGATAGAATCTCATTATATCTGCAGAAAAATCTATATATTGATGTATCAAAAAATATAGAAGAGCAGCATAAATATAACAGTTATATGAATATTCTTATCATAATAAAAAATTACATATCCATACAATATATATCAAATATAACAGTTACATGAATATTCTTATCATAATGGAGAGATACATGTCCATACAATATATAACGATACAATAACAAGTTCTACCAATCCGACCAATGGCCCCGTCTCTGCAAATACTAGTACCAACAACAACGTATATAATAGAGAAGCGGTGAGATCAACACCACCCAAAAAAAGGTCAGATGTGAGTGCACCGTGCTTGGCCGATTGTTAATGATGGGCTATTGTCAAATAAATATGTAAGCTCACCATTCTGACAAAGAGTTTAGGCTCCATTTGACTTCAAATTTCATTAAATGGTGTTTCTTTTCAAATTATATTTGAAGAAATGGCAATTTGGTCAATTATCATTGAGGTTTTTGATTGTTTAAAATTAGATTTGTAATTTCTAATTGTGTGGGTGATTATGGATGTCATAGTAAAACTACAATGGTGGTAGTAATAATGTGATGGTCATGCAAGCGGTCGTGGATAGCGGTGACGAGGGCGGAGAGATGGCGGTTGTGGTGTGGAAGTGGTAGTGATAATGGCAGTGGCAGTGCTAACAGTGGTAGATGGCAGTGGTGGTGACGGTGGTGGGAGTGGTGGTTGA